CCTGGACTTTCAAGCGGGGATTCGTTCTCGTAAGGTCCTATCGGAGACCTCGTGCCGAGGCCTGATTCAATCGATCACATAGAGATCCAATTGTTTGACGCTCTCTCGGCGAGGGAGCGTCGGGTATCTGGCGCCCCATCCTCTCCTCCCTCCCACAATCGCAGCAAAAATCCATGTAAAGTCCATTTGGAATGTAAATTGGCCTGAATTCACGTTAAGCTCCTACCGGCTCTCAACTGAGTGTAAGACTACCAGCAAAGGTAAGCCAAGAGGACCCACTTTGGTGAGGTTTTCTAAGGTGAGTTGCTGACTTCGTGATAACGTTCATTTGTGCTCTTGTGTAAAAGGTAAAATAATGGAATTTGATGTTTTGTAAAAGACATCAATAAACCTCGCTTCAGAAAACAAGTCTTATGAAGCAGTACTTCTCAAAATTTCCACAAATTCAGATGAAAAATTCAAATAAAGCTGAATGGTCTAGATTGTAGCAAAATCATTAAGGCCAAGTAAAGATACTAGCATTTCACGATTTGATCTACTTAGGAAAAGACGTAAGAAACACCTCTAGAAGGGAAAAAATCTCTTATTAAGTTTTTGCTGTTCTTCGAACTTCTGAGTAGAGCATTCAGTTAGTGCACTTCAACTAGTCAAGCGAAATCATTGTAATCAACAACAAATGGACAAAAGACCATTTTCACCCCCCTCAATTTGAAAGAAAAGTCATTCAAGCTAAAAAGAAATGCAATTCTTTCTGAAAATCACAGACGCGATAACTTGTCGTACAATATGAACTAAGTCTATTTAATCCGCACGAAGCCCCATTTCAAGGAGGCTTTCGTGAATATGACCCCAGACTTCGCTGGGTGAGAGGATGATCGTCACCAACGGCTCGACATATCTCTTCATTAAAAAAATTCCATGTTTGCTCACGAAGCTCATTACACATACTAATAGATTTTGGAGCTGACATGGCGTCATGCCACCTTCTTTGCACGCTGATGTTTCATGCTGCTTTCTCGAATAGGAATTTATACATCGAAAGAAATTCTTGAAGTCTCATTTGACTTTGAGGCGCATAAACTGGGAGTTTGTTTTATGGTTTGGGTTGATTGGAAAAAGATTAAATAATACTGATAAGGAAACTTAGCGACATCACATCTAAAGTAACCTGTCTAAGAAAAATCCTATTCAAAATCGTGTCTGAGTCGTCCAAAAAACATCGGTCATACACTGATTGAATGAGTTCTGTGTATTCACCACGAACATCTAACGGAATTGGATCATACATGCTGTGTCGATTCTAAAAGCATTGGTTAGTTGAAAAACTCGAAAGCAACCCATTTTTTAATGAACTAACTTTGATATGGTCCTTTACTGAAGTAGGTGAGTAATGACTGCTAAAATTGCAGCATGGACATAAATACATCGGTTTTTTGATGTGATGCTAAAGCAACATTAAGAATTAAATTTTAAAGATTAAGGACAAACCAGATACCTGCAGAACATGGCGCTCGAGGTGTTTCACGTTAGTTTCAGAACACAGCCTGCAAGTGTTGCGAGGCAGCGAACGTAGAGTAAATGCTGGCCCTGCAAATGTGTCGTCCAGATCGTTCTCGTCTGCAGCAAGTTGGTTTTGCGAGGAATAAGGCTGAACAGGGAAGTCACCTGCAATAAATTAGGTCAAAAGCAAAATTTTTGGGATACGTAGGAACTGTTTTACGGGAATTCTGTAATTTCAAGATAAGAACATATCGGGAACTATGCACGGATGCGTGAACAAGTGTTCTGAACTGTAATCGTGCACTCCTCCTATTTAATATTTAAGAAAGAGGCTTTTTTTACAATCATCAGGATAGAAAAAAACTGTGATAAATGGATAAAAACTAATACAAGAACCAGTAAATTCATATTTAGCAGAACGCACCATATCACTCAAATTTTAAAGGCAGATTGTTAATTTTAATTCCATCTATAGCTCCACTTGCAGGAAATAACAGTGCTTTTGATTCAGCTCTTGCTTTTCTTTAATTATCGGCAGATTTCCAAAGCTTCTTTAAAAACTTTATACTAGCTCCACTACAGCTTCTGCATCTATAAAACCATGGAAGAATACGGTAAGAGTGAAGCCAAGTGCATATCTCACAATGTCTAGGACTCAAACGATTCAACCTATTTCTCATTTATTGAAAGTTCTAGAGCATTAAACAAGATGGAAAATAGGCTGCAACGATTTGGTCCATTGCTGAAGATGCGCTGACAGGACAATTTGGCAAAACTGTCATTCCCTCTCTCTTTCCCTTTCTCTCCCTCTTTCCCTCTCTCTCTCACTCACTCTCTCTCCCTCCGAACTACATAAAAATTCAAACATCGGCTTTATCGACTACTGAAAAAAAAGTTAACGCATTAACGCAAAACCTACATGTTTGCAGCGACTTGCTTGATTGCCGATTAACCGTTAGAATTTGGCATTGGCTTAAGTGAGAAACCGATTTTGACTCATTAAAAGCTCAAAATGCTTGTTTTTTCCTAGACACTACCGTTAATCTATCTAGTTCCAAGTTACTTAACTAAAACTAACATACAGTGACTTTGGGCGAATGTAAAGAAAAGGGTCACATGCTATCTTACCCTCTTCATAGATTACATAGTCGCTTTGCTAACACCACTGTAACATCCCGCATAGATCTATTTACTTCAAGAACAAGGCCTTTATTTATCTTGAACGTTTATAACGTTTCACAGATTTTTGCAAGAGAATTAACGTCTAGTGTAGCTCACAATAAATCTCAAAGTGATGAGTCCTATGAGGACCAGCTGCTCTAGCGCGCAATCTTGATAAATGGTAGTATATGAAGTGGAAAATGCGTAAAGTTGATTTTCCTTTGACTAATGATTCGTATGGTTTATCCTTGAAGACACAATCAAACGCAGGCAGAAACTGAATGATGATCATAATTTACAACTCAATTATTGCAGGTTTACTATGGATGTCGAGGCAGCAGTTAATGCCAGCGACAAAACATGATGGGTCTGCACCTCGAGTTTTCCCTTCTTTCTCAGCTGTACAATACCGCTCATAACTTCTGCAAAAAAAACATGATTTCACATAAAAATCCGTCGCGATGGGATAATCCGTTGCAAAACGTCGCATTGTCATAACTTCTTTCAAAATAGATATTTTTAAAGGGGAAAACGGCGTTAGACTCAGCTCGTTGAGAGGATTCTTCCAGTATATCACAATACAGTAACATCTAGAGTATACGGTAGGCATACGGTAGGAGGTCAATATCGTGAATCTGTCTAAAACTTC